CTTACCCAGCACGGCGGCCATGGCGCTCCCGACCATACCCCCGCCCGACACCACCACATCGTAGAGCGGGGCGGCGGCGGCCACAGAGCGGAGCGGAACCCGCGGGCCGGCCCACAACCGCCCACTCAGCGGAGCCAGCAAGCCCCGACCGCACACGGCCGCCATCACTGCGGAAGTGACGACGCGCCACCCGCCTCCGAGCGGAAGCCGCTCCGAGAAACCATGACAACGCAGCCTGCTCGGGGGGCGGGCACTACACAAAACACCTCTTCCCGAGCACCAATGAGCCAACGGCGGCTGTCCGATTTGGAGTCCGATTGGCTGCTTGGGGCCAAAAAGGCCGGCCTAGAGAGCCGTCGGCTTCGCTGATTGGCGGGAGCAGGCATCGGTGCCGTTGGAGGGCTGAGGCGGCGGCCTGCAGGTGAGGGCAGAGCCCGGCCTCGGCCCTCCCGGCTTTCCCTCAGCCCCGGCGGCGGCCCTGTCGCCGCCGCCGGGGCTGAGGTAAAGCCGGGAGGGCCGAGGCCGGGCCTGGAGTTTGGGGTCGCACCCCCGAAACGACCCACTTCTTCATTTTTTTAATTTTTGTTTTCCCCCTTCCAGGTGACACGACATCCCCTCAGGCTGTAACGGAACAACTCCTGCGTCTCCTGCCACCGGCCGAGGAGCTGGGAGCGGCTTCTCGGGATGGGAGGCCGGAGGTCTCCGTTAGAACTGGGCTTAGCCTACCAGGCAAAGTTAAAGGGTGACGACCTCGGGGTATCCGAAGAGGACGAGGAGCTCGAGGGTTTCAGGCGGGAGGCGGCAGTCCTGCGTGAGAAGCTGTGGGAGGCTCTCAGGTAGGATGGTACCTGGTAAGGATGGCAGAATGGCATGCGGGATTCCTGCTGCTTCTGACCAGTGACGAGGTGGAGCTTGAAGTGCCGAGATGCATGTATATAGTACCAAAACACTGGTCACAAATGTATTCACACATGGGAGGATGGGGCCAACAGGCACACACGTAAGCAGCATTCACGTAAAACATGAACAGCACAAATCCCGTTCCTGCTCATCAGCTAATCACGCTTAAAATTTGCTAGCAGATCACACACATTTCTATCCAGCATCCAGTCTTCAGAGCTGTGGTCTCTGCAACATCTAGCTCTCAGACCTCTCTTCTTTCTCTGTGGTTAGTCCAGCTTGAAGTTCACTATTCACTAGCAGATCACACACACGTGCTCTTACACAGGAAATTTTATGAAGAACAGACTGCAGCAATCACTAGGCAAGTGTATTGACCATGAGCCTGTTTACACATGATCGGCACCCTGTGTTTCCCCCTTTTTTCCATTTGCCTGTTCTTGGTCCACCCCGATCCACCTTGATCTTTCCTTTTACCTGCATTTATTCCTTCCCTAAATATCTCGTAAGTTTTACTCAGTTTCACAATTGCCCTCAAACATCCTCTGAGAAGTTTGCTATATCAGTGAGACCCATGATAGTCTTGGTCTTCTTATCAGCTACAAAGTTTCCAGCTGAACCTCTCAAGAGTTGCACGAAAGCTGTTCCTTGCAATGGCTCTTCCATCAGCGTCTTAGGAATGATGGTGTTTGGTACTGTTTGTTAGGATTTGTGCATCTGTGCACCTAAATTATTGCCTCTCCTGAGTTTGTCTTTTATGTTGAGTAGCTATCAGCTATATGTCCCTGAAGTTGGAACTTTCTGGTTTACTTGTGGCCTTTCTGGCAATGGAGTGCTAGCAGGATAATAAACTGCATTACAAAGCTAAGTAGGCATAACCACCATTTTATACGTGGAAAATGGAAAACAAGCAAAGCTCTGCTCACAAACTTTGGTAGCAAAGGAAAATATAGAGCCCGAGAACGATAAGCCCTAGGCCTGTCTTTTAAAGACCAGCTCAGCTTACGGTGTCTTTCTCTTAATCAACAGTGTCTCCCTTCTTTTAATTCTATTTTTTTAATAATTTCACTTATTTCCCCTTCATAATGTCTTTGTCTTAGTCGTACATCTGGTAACAAAAGGCAGTCCAGTTCTTTGATCGACCTCACCTCTGACAGTACCTGGGATCAGCAAAAGCCTCACTTGTTTCCTAAATCCCACCCGAGGCCCAAAAGCGCTTCATCTCCCTGGATTCCTTCCATCACCATCCCTCAGCCTTTCGAAATGACACTGCGGGAAGCTCGCAAAAAGTCCCAGTTGATGAAGTCATGTGTGTTTCTTGAACTAGACAAACAGAGAGACAAAAGGCAAAGCCAGGATGAAGCTGAATGTCAGAAGCAATTCCGGGCACAACCTGTACCTGCCCATGTGTTTCTGCCCCTTTATCAGGAAATAATGGAGCAGAATGAGATTCGCAGGCAAATAGCAACACAGAAGAGAAAAGAGCTGCTACTTTCAACCCAACGGCCCTTCAGTTTCCTGGAGAAGGAGGAGAAAAAGAAAGAAGCAATCAGACAAAAGTTCCTGGCAGCAGCAGCCCCAAATGAGAGCTCCAAACAGAAGCAAGCCACTAAAAAAGTTCCTAAATCTACTTATGACCCACTTCTTGGAGATAAACTCAAAGGTAAAATGCCAGGGCTCTTCCTGTAAAAACAGCTTCCTGCCTGTCCCTCACTGTCTCCATGCTGGGAGGTAGGATCATGGCCCACAGGGTGTCACTTGGAGTATAAAGCCAATATCATTACATCCCCTGGTGTCTCCTGTGTATCACTGGTCATTACATTTCATCTAGATACCCTTACAGCAGAGTGTCCTAAATTTACTAGTCTTGTATCAGTGTCAGTAGCAGCAGTTCTGTGCCACTCCCCAGCACACATGGGTACACTGAGCTCTTCAGATGGTTTTCCCCACCCCTTTTGCTGCAAATCATGACAGTTTGGGAATCCTTCCCTGCACTGGATTCTATACCTTTGGTTACGGTAAAGGGACTGAGATGACTTGTGGCACAAACGTGAAGACGTATGTAGTGCCAGAAGTGTCCAAGGTCCATGCAGTATCTTGGAACTGACAATTTTACTCCCACCCAAGTGATCTGTGCTGCACAGAACCCCTAGGAGAAAAATATCTCCTGAGTCCAAATCAGCCAATTAGTTCAGTTCTAAGGGATAGTGCAGTAGTCCAGTCTCTCCTGCCATCCTCTGATCTTTTCAGTTGCCTTCCCACGTGCTTTCCACCTTAAGTGCTAAAACAGGGGATGTAGGTGCCAGGACCATTCTAGTCAGAGGGACAGCCAAGGACATTTTCTTGATGCTCACTTTATTTCAGATGGCTTAAGCCCCCACAGTTATAAGTTTGAAGTAAGCAATACAAACTTCACACTTGAATATAGGAACTAAATCAGTCCTTTATAATTCTCATTGCTTTTCTCACCCCTTTCTTTTTTTTACTGTTTCCCACAGATTTGTTCTTGAGTATACACCAGTTAAGTTTTCATCAGAAAACATTTGTTGTGGTGTGCTAAACTAAATAGATTAGAAAGGTAAAAGAGCAAAGGATGAGCCATTGTTCTGTTTCTATCTGGTATATGAGAAGGGAGGAGGAATGAACATTTCATACCTCAGCCAATGCAAACTTATAAGCGGTCTCAAAAATAGTCTTATTTTGCAAACAGCAGTATTGATTTTTTTTTTCTAAGAGCAAAAAACCAACACACAGCCAACTGTTTTGTCTTCATTTTCACAAATATTTAGCGCTGCACAGGAAAGGACTCAGTTTGACGCTGTACCCTGAAACACATTCTTTCTATGGAGTTTGTCACAGAAGTCACAAGACATGATCCATCCACCAAATGCTCCTTACTTAAAATCTTTTCCAATATAGACAAACACTGCTGCATATTACATAGAAAAGCCATCATCCGTTACAAGTATATTTGAACAGCCCACTTCGATCACACAGTCAACATAATGACATAAAGCCCCACATGAAAAGTAGAACCTTGATTAACACAGTACTTCTGCAAGACAAAGGGCACAAGTTATCTGGTACCCCTAAGAATAGGAACAGGAGAAGGCCTGTTCAGTAACTTACTCTGATAAGTGAAAGAGATATCTGGAGATTAATGCCTAAGAAAGAGACTCTACCATGTTTTTTCCGGTATCTTTAAATTTTTTTTCCTGGGAGGCAGAGGAGAGTGAGGCTGGAAAGTGGGGAAAGAGAACACAGGATATCTGGTCTCTTCTATATGTGTAGCTGCCACCCTAAAGAAAAATTTAGAGTTGTGCAGTGGCAATTTCACAGCCTTTTATGTCACTCATATTCTTCTTATTGCTTTGCTTTTGATTCATTAGAAGCTGAACTCTACAGAGAAATCCGCATTCAAATGAGAGCGAAGGATTTGCTTGAGAGCTCTGTAGCTCCTATAGATACGAGCAACTGTCGGAGGGAGCCTCAGTTCCGAACTGCCACTAAAACTAAGCAGGAAAGACTTGGCTTCTTGCAGGACAAAAGTTTCAGCTTCAAGCCAAGGATTAATCCAACAATACCGGATTTTGAAGGACTTTACTGGGCATTTCAGAGGGAAGCAGTAAGGAGACAAGAAATCAAAGAGGCAACTCGTAATAAGCCATTCAAGCTAAGAACCTCCAATCTCCATGGCAGGCAGAGGCAGGCTAATGAAAAGATAAAGGTGAGATGACTGGATATTTCTGTGGTACTACTTTCTCCAATCAAGATAGCAACTTCTTAAATTTATAGCATTTATTTATGGATGGTTAATGTCCTGTGACCTCTGTTGTTGTCTTGGGAGTACTGCAGAATTCTACGACAAACCAGAGAACAAAATTCTACACAGAGATGAGCTATGACAGCTAAGGCTCAACCACCCTTCCATGCTCTTAATCACGTCTCCTTCCCCTCATTCCCTCAGCCCCTCCCCATGTAAATCCCTACTGATGGAAGAGAGAAGAATGAGTGCATTGCTCACGTACCCCAACTGTTCTCTTTGTAGACAAAGAAGAGAGGAGATTCTGTACTATGAACAAACACACTGAATAGAGTTCCATTTTTTTCAGGATTCTCATCAACTTTCCAAGGTTTCAGTACAAAAAAGTCATTCTCTGACCGGAGTTTCCTCTCTCTCTTCCAACACTCTTCCAGTGCATATTACAGATGCAACTAGAAAAAGGGAATCTGCTATTAGGTAAGTAGAAAAGTTTGTCTACAAGACCATACACCAACTAATGACTAAAATGGAGGGAAAAAAGTCAGTGTTTTCCCTCATCACATCAACTACATCAATAATACTTTTCCTAAATGTTTCTCTGTCTTCTTTCTTTGCTAATTCTTCCCCTGCTTCCCAGTTGATTTGGGAGCTGCAGACTCGTATGTCTGAAATTTTGCTTTTTTCCTTAGAGGACTACAAAAGTGAAATTCCCCAGTAGCATGTAGTCTGGCTAGTCTTAGGTGAGCTCATTAGTAACTTTTTTCTATACAGATACTCCCAAGATAACAAAAAGGAAGGGGACAAAGAAGGAATTTATTGGCTGGAGAAACAGAAAAAGAAATGTCAAGCTATCCGAAAGTCAGTGAACAGCCGAGCAAAAGCCCTGGATCCACATAAAAGTTTGGAGGAAACGCACAAGGAGAAGTTCAAGCAGAACTGGTCAGTATCCTATTCTGCACAGAAATAACCATTTGCTCTAGTAACTGGGGATCATCGGATAATTCTTTAGGAGGAATTCAGTCTAAGAACATTCGTAGCCCAACTTTTTTGGTTGTCATAACCATTCCACATTCATTTGGATTTCTTGACAATTCCACGCTACCCCTTCCATACAGAACAGCTTCCTTTAGATTAACATTTGTAGAAACTAATTTGTACAAACCAACTGAAATGTGTAATTTGGTAAGGCACACATGAGACAAGGTTTTCTAAAAGTGTGAACACTGGTTCTCTGCTTACAGTCTAGTAGTAAAGCTTTGCTAATAGGTCCATAACTTGTCAGCAATAGGATTTTTTTTGCCCACCATTCTGAATCTAGGGAATTATCAGAGCTATTTAAAGGACAAAACAGTTATTGAGAATTCCTCGTTCCTCATGAGCTACAGTCAGAGGGAACCGGCATTAGACAGGCAACTTTTCCATTTCAGGCAAAACATGAGAGAGAGAACAAAGGAATACAGAAAGGAGCTGGAAGAAATGCAGCTGCGAGTCAAGAATAGACCATACCTCTTTGAACAGGTCACCAAGGTAACTGGTCAAAGTTCCAGACTGTTTCTGGGTGACAGGATACATTGTCTTTCATTTAAGACAGGCATGAAGAAATCTAGTCTCAAGTCAATTCACAGATAAGAAGGTGCAAATGGTTGCATAGTCTCTTGACTACACTCAAAATAACACATGGAAGGGCCACCCAAGTGTAATTTAAATTCCTTCCCACCAGTTGAAAAAACACTCAGTCTTGGTTGTAGAGCTTTCCAGTCCCTAGTATATATTGCAATCAAAATATATAGTCTGATCAAAATCAAGGCCTTATCACACCAGAAATTATATGAATACCTATTCTGCACCTGAATACCATAGCCTATAGTGCAGAAATTTTAACCTTTTTTTTCTTAAAACCCTCTCCAGTTGAGCACTTTTTCTTTGTACCTCTAGTGCTACTAGAAAAACATTAATGACAGTTATGTCACTTATATCATCTGCAAGCTCTGCTACCTGGGGATGTGTTCAGCACATCTCATCCATCACAGCTGCAAATCTGTATTGCACTTGAGGTGTAGATGCAATCTTTACTCTCTATAAAGTATCTTTTTTCCCTGGGTTTTCTCTTTCAGTTCTGTCTCCTTGCAGGGATGGTATCTGGTTAGAGACATAGTGACAATACATTGACAATATGCTGATTTAAGATTTCTCAACAGAAAGTACCCTCCTGGGTCAGACTTTCTGTTCAGATGAGTGTTAATGGAGGCAGAGAACACATTTGTATGATAAATATTGGTAACATTCCTGTTTGCCAGGCTGATAAGGATTCACCAGTATTGATAGCATTCACTCATGTTGAGATAAGACTTCTGTCCTACCATATAGAACACCTTAATCTTTAGGAACTGGTCAATCCCTCTAGAAAACTGTCATCTCAGACTATATTAATTAGCAAGGTTTATTTGGAGGCAATGGGGATATAGGATCAAGGATGCTTGGTTTTCAGTTTCATGAAGATGAGCTGATAGGAAGCTATTTCACAGGTGCTCTCCATTTATTGAACTCCACTTGTTGTTAGTACTTACAAATTACAAGCAGACATGTTTACAGAATTTCTCACAACCCTTTTTTGCACATGTTCTCAGTTTGAGTGTCAGTCAGGGCTCAGACACGAGTATGCTAGTCTGGTAAGACTGGAATGCTGTAGAAGCAGAACAGAATAAGGAAGAAAAAAAAGAACAGAAGCAGGAAAAGGTGAGCTCTGGCCTTGAGAAATGCAAAACGTTGTCCTAGTATTTGGGTTTGGTACTGTACTGGATGGATGACAAAAATGTCGGACAGGGGCTTTGCTCTCATTCTCATTAGGAGTGTCAGCCATGAACTTTAAAACAACTTAACTGTTATGGGGAAGCCCCAGTTCTATATGCTTACTGTTTTAAGTTTTGATTTCATAGCACGATGCTCGTCAAGGAGCAGAGCGTCGCTACAGACACACCCTCCAGCAGGTTGGGCTAAGCGAAGAATTTGTAAGGAAAAAAGGGAAAGATGCCACTGACTTGCTGGACGAAGAATCTGATGTTCACAGGTAATAAAAACAATGCAATACAGCTCTTTTGCTTTTGACTAAAAGTATTTTCCTTGTTCATGAAAGTGTTCCAGTTTGTATTATCTAGTGTAGGCAAAATTAAATCAACTTCACTCCTCTTATTAAGAATCATGGCTCCTCTATCTTAACTCCTATGACTGCACTGTATTTCTTATGCATGGGGCAAAGCAGCAAGTAAGCACTGCAAACCATTTCCAGTATTAGACAGTCACTGTTTCAGCAGAGCACTCAAGCCTCAGGGTGAAAAGGACAACTGTACTGTACAGGAAGGAGAACCTCAAGAGGAACAGAGCGGAAAGGAAATGGCAACATAAGATCTAGCAGAAGAATCTATTGATCATCTCTTGATTATTTAATTCAAGATTCTCCACATTAATCCTCAGGAACTTTATGGTTTAGGCTGACACTTAAGAATTGCTCTGGGTTAAGTGAGATGTAAGAACTTAGTAAAGGAAAAAAAGACCAGCTGTTGTTTAGAGCATGTCTTGTCCAACCCAGCAAACCCTGCAGCCTCCCTTAGTGTTCACAAGTGTTCCTCATGTCAGCCATTTCCCTTTCTTTAATGGGCAACAAAACAAGTTAAAAAGGTTGAAGCACTATCTTCGGATAAAAGTAGGCATGAAAGACTGAAGAGGTGCATCCTCTCTGTTAGCTCCTTGCATTCATGCCACAGAAGCACACAGAAAGGGGAGAATACCTTTCAGTGTGTTAAACCTTGGTTTAACATGTGGTAGAATGCTTTTAAACAAGGTATTTCTAAAAAAACAAAGAGCAGAATTTGACCTACCTTGGGAGAAGACTCAGAGAAGTCCTTCTCTGGTGTCAACTCTTCATTCGTTCATTCCCAGCTCTGCTCCTTCCTCCCATTAGGAAGAAGCAATAGTCTTTCTATATTAAAAAATCTCCCGTATTTCATTATTTGAAACTGTTTTAACATCTTACCAATTTAGGTCATTAATTTGGCCTGAAAAACAACTGAAATTATGAAGAGGGTTGTAATTAAACAATGCATTGCTTTGGATTGCTGTTATCCTAATTCTACTATTGCTGTGATATCAAAGATGGACTTTGGTGGAAGAAATATTAGGTGTTACCTGTCAGCATGTTGCACTCAAATGCCTGGCGCATCTTGAATGGTATAGTTCACACATTAGTGGTTTTCCTTTACCTGACAGTAACAACAATCTAAAAAATACAAACCCTTACCACCTGGAATGTTTTCTGAGAATTATGACATCAAAGCACTGTGAGATTAAAAAATTTTTAAATCGCTATCATGTTTCTGCATCGTCCAATTTCTTTATCAATCATCTTTTCCTCACTTTTTAAATAGCTGCTGTGTCTCTTTTCACCTGTGTCACCTCAATCCATTTCTCCTTACACTGTAACAACAAAACCTCATCATCAAATCAGAAATACAGTACCTGTTAAGAGCTACCACATTAGATAAAGATATAAAACTGAGATAATGACATTTTTAATCATAAGTACCAGATCCAGGAATTTATGGCCCTGTGGTTTTAGGCTGCTCTATTACACTTCCACAGAGATCAATACATAGCTGAATGCATTGGGCTGCAGCAGTCCTCCTTACCGACTCAATCTCCACACTGAGAAAACACTTAAGCACATGGGAGGGTTCAAGGAAGGCTGTTATCAGTGTGCCAGTTTCTATGTAAGTTTAATTGTGCAGGACACACAAAGGCTCTTCTTTCTCCTGTATCCCCTGGAGAAAAGCAGTAATGTAATCATATTGTCACCATGCCTTGTCACATTGAAAGAAGAAGGAAAGAAGATTTCTTCCATGCCCGAGGTCTGTGGTCTAAAGCCCATTGGGCTTGTATGGATATATCTGGAGCACTGGAAGTGAAATTTTAAAACATACATTTTAAGGGTTATTTACTAAAATTGGTTGCTAATTTCCATAGTAATACTTGATGATGCTAGAAAAAAAAAAAATTCCAAGTATGTGAAGTGTAAAGGAAAAGCTTAAGAAAGGAGGAACAAAGGCTTGACTTTAAATTAATATAGGATGTTATGCCATATTCCTTTAACAAATACTAAGGTGACATGCATGAATACAGTAACAGATAAATCGAAGTCTTAATATTGGTCCCTAAACAGAAATTGCTGAAATGGTGAGGAAAGTAAAAGCATCAGACTAAGTAACTGAAACTCACTAGCACCTTTCTGCCAAACAAAGTGTTTTTCTGAAAGTAGGATTACACTTCTGTAATCCTAAAAGAGATTTGTAATCTCTTAACGTATCCCAAAAATGGTATGGAAGTAAAGAATTTCAACTTTTGTTCTGGATTTTTGCAGTTTATGAAAAAAATTTGTTATTTTTAGTTAAAAGAATTACAGCCTGTTTAGCTAACCTATAAAAATACTGTAGTAAAGAAGACATCTCACTGGAGCGTCTCCCATCAGCTGATGAGATGGTAGCCAAACCACATCAGATCCTGATTCACAGGTACCTGGTGGAGCTCCTGCAAGAACCTCCAAATTACAGTACCTTTACCGACAGCAGCACTACCTTTACATTCAGCTAGGGAGCAATATAAACTCAAAGCATTCTCTTCACATAGGAGCTATTACAGACGCATAGTATCTTAGCAAAACTCTGCATTCTTAACAATGCCAATTCTGAAGAAAGTCTTTAACAAAAATTCAAAACATCTACATGGTAGACTCATTTAAAGGGCTTGATATACCAAACAAATTTTGGAGGAAAAAGTGACTGGGGAAAGCAGGAAAAGAACACAGCAAATGTAATTAAATGATATCAAGTAGTACATTTATTTCAGATAGTAAGTCAGCTTCTGACAGTGAGATGTATTAGAATATAGTCTCTGAAGGTAAAGGATGGAAGGAAGGCCTGTTGGTCAAGATACCGAATGTTTTTACAGTGCCTAGCACAATGAGGTCCGGGTCCTTAACTGGGGCTCCTAGGTGCTCCAGCAAAACAAACACTTTAGGCTTTAGGAGAATGGACTGCATGAACAGTTTTGAAATGGCGTTTCATGACATGGGCTAAATGACACCTAAGCAGCAGACTTCACCTTTTAAGCTCTGCAAGAGAGAAACTTGGTCCAGTAGGTCTTCTCCAACTCCAGTTTTATGATTCATTCTCCATCTACCCACCCGCTCTGTGCACAGTTAAAGCAACGTTCACTCATCCCACTGCAGTATGGTGAGCCTCTAGGAGGAATGATCGATCCCACTTCAGTCACCACATATAAGAGGGCGGAAAAAAGAGCAGCTGGTCTCACCCTCCTCTACTCCAATAATAGACTCAGTGTCTGGCAGGTGCAGAGACTCGACGCCAAGGCTGGGCTGAGAGTTCATGGAGATGAGATTCTTACTATGCACTGTAGATTCTTCCAGCAAACTGCTGCCCATCAGTGACTCTATTGTGAAAAAAGGGGTAAAATAAAATTCTCACGATGTAATGATACTGCAATATAAGATACAATCCCTGCCCCCTTCAAGTCACATAGACATCTTCCCTAGATACCTACTTGATCCGTTCCTACTCTCTGGGCATCTTGCGCTCCAATGGATGGTAACTCCTATACTTATTGTTTTGAGCCTTAGTATAGTGGGATCTCATGCTGGCTTGGCTTTCTCTTTAAATAATTCACATTGCATAAAAACCCAGGCTGCTTACAACAAGAATACATAACAAAGGGCACAGATTTCATGTAAAAAAAAAGATACTAGATTCACGTTAATTCTGAAAACAATAAACCTATCTGCCCCTTGACCACAATACAGAAATACACCTTTGTCTTCTATTCTACAAGAGGAGGGTGAGCAATCCATCCTCATCTCCAAGAGGAACTATCTTTTGTTCCTTACTGGCTTGTGGTCTCATATTTTCAGGAAAAACATCGTCCCTTCTCTCTGACCATCCACTAATTCTTTCCTGCACTTCTCCCCCACAGAGAGTGCCCTCCCTTCCTTACCTGTCTGTTCTCGCTCTCTGCTGCCAGCTGTTCCAATTCGGGAGTGGTGTTTCCTCATGTGCACATTTCTGCTACCACTCTGGGAAAACGTCTTCCCACAAATTTGGCACTGATGGGGCTTCACTCCTTGGAGTTGAAGGGGGGAAAAATATCCCAAGAATTAAAAAATTGGGAATAAAGACCTCATCAACCAAGAAACCAATAATACTGTTTTGAAATGGCTGTTGACAGCACTGGTGCTAATTATCAGTGAAAAAAACAAATGAGAAATACTTCTGCTTCCTGGAGAGCAACAAGCTTCTAGAACAGAAGAGTTTCATATATCAGTATTGCCAGCTGTTGGAAAACTCAAGTCTGAAGAGTAACATAAAGTCTTCAAGTCTGATTTATGAGAGGGAACAAGTTACTTGGAATCTCTTACTCAGTGACATGGAAATGTTTGATGTCCCATGCCTAGAATAAAATAACCAAAAGCAAGGAAGCAGAGGCAAGGAAGCTATCTCCTGCCATCACACAACAAATTGCAGCATCTGGTTTACATTACTGAGCAGAGACTGGATGATGACTTGTCACTGTGAAAGGATTTCTGTTTTACAGAGCAGTTTATCATTTTCACAATACAACAAGTATGATGTCCATACGTGTAAGCTCAATAGCATGGAAGCCAAGGAGACAGGAAAGAAGAAGCGTGGAGAACTCCCATAGTCCCAAAAGTTACTACCCCAATAAAATCTCCCCTTCCCCAGACATGCCATATTCATCATATGCTGATGATATTTAGGATAGATTAGTCCGAACAGAAGGCAGAAGCTTTGAATCACTTGTGAAATACATTTCCATCTAATGCTTTGTCCAATTACAAGTATGTAGTATTAAAAAATAAAGGAAAACCCTACCTATGGCAGAAACCCACTCATGAGAGATTTCAGATGTGAATGGCTTTGATTAATACATAGAGGTCCTAGATTCTCTCTTTTAAATAAGAAAATGGTAGCTATGAAACAGATATCCAGCTTCATGACATTTTAGAAACAATTTAAAAACTAAATTTAAAAAATGTAATTTGAATTTAGAAACATAAAATTTAGAAACAACAGAAAGATTAAAGTGTACAGGCTACAGGCACCACAAAGGAAGTCATGAAACACTATGACCAGAAGTCCTGTAGAAACTAGGGGATTTTTCTTAAGGAAATCAAATCAAAGACCTACAACAAAGACATTTTCTCAGATAGGTCACAGAATGTCAGATGAAGACTCTTACCTGAGTGGACAACCAAATGTTTCCGAAGGCTGGAGTACTCGGCAAAGGAGCGACCACATCCCTGTGCCTCACACAGAAAGGGTTTTTCCCCTACAAGGGAAAAGTAAGTTTTTAGATTTTGGGATCACAACTTGATCTGATTGTTCAAGTCCAGGAGAACAGCCTGGAGATCTCTACCCCATTCTCCCTTTTGGCCTTACACGCAACAAAGTTCAATAGAAATTACACATATGCTTTCTAATGCTTTTAAAGCATTATCTTCATCAGCTTTCAAGAGGAAACACTGGCATTCTTTCTGAAATATTCTTAGATCATCATTCATTGAAAGCAAAGCAAGGGTCCACTGTTTCTAAATAGATCTTCCAAGTATATAAATACCAGAAGAGTAATATAAAAGTACCTGGACTATGATCTATCTTCTATATGCGGTTCTTAACAACCAGCTCCCTGCTTCACACACTCCCAGGATCCTGTTCCCTTTCTGCCTCTCAGTGCCAAAAATCCCTCCATATCAGATTCTATACTTTATTTCAGATCAGGCTGAACTTGCCAAAATCCCACTAGAGATGTGTCAGTCATTTATATTTATGTGTGGAGGAACAGTAATTCAAGGCACAATTTGTTCTCATAAGCTGGAATTTGTTATTTTTATATATCTACACAGCTATTTTTGTATTGGCCTAGATAGATGATGATAAATTGGGAGGTGACTACACTAATGCAATGCAATATAATTAATCTGTTCTAAACACTCTCTTAAAAAAGCGTTACATAAAACTAGAGGTAACTTTTGCCTGCAACATCCCACTAAAGAACTCCATATACCATGTTTAACACTATGATTTCAAGTCTTTAACTAGACTACTGTATCAGAGTAACAGCAAGTCCACAGGAGATTAAGCAAGCTATTTTAGCTATTTTATTGTCTAACATAGACGTAGTTCTTTCACAGTAAACTTGGTTTTAAAGTTGTTTCTACTGTGATTTTGCCTTTAGAAATCCTCTCTCTACAGTTCGTTTCTCAGCTTCTTATCTACTATAGCATTCAACAGATCTGAGCAAAAAGGATCAACACAGCATGTTCTGATTAGTGTTACAAAGCTGAAATACGTAGCAGATTCTCAAACACTGATTGTACCTTCTGGCTTGTTATAAATTTTAAAACTTGGAAAGAAGGAAGAAAAACTACCATTGACAAAAATAACAGCACACAGTTCCATCTATGAGAAACCTTAGATCTAGTTACACCTGCAGTTATGTAACACCTTTCGTCTAGTCAAACTCTTAATTGCACATTATCAATTTGCAGTTAAGAAAATTATTATTTACTCCTCCAGAAGCTACTACTCTGTTGGTTGCAGTACACTCACTCTATCATGGAGGATTGTGCATGTGTCAACTGGGCCTATTAACTTTATCTGTACCTTGGCTGGGAGCTTTACGTGCAAAAGAAAACTGAAAAAACTGTGGCTGCTGTTACTACACATACGAAATTTTATTATCGGTATATATAACTTCTACATCCCAACATCTGCCCCCAAACCGTGTGTTCTAGCTAGACTGCAAATTCTTTAAAATAGCAACCTTTCTCCATGTGTATCTACAAACTACATACCATACGGTAATGTTTAAGCAAGGCAGAAGGCATAAACAGCTGCTGGCGGCCCACATAATCTGCGATTTCATTTTACTAGAGAGGCCTTGTGCTCTCACAGTTGTCAAGGTTATTTTGAAATGTTAACCAACTGTAATACAATGCTACCTTCCTAGGCCATCAGGCAGTCTCTAACAATATTCTGAGAGGCTTGAACTGGGCCATTTGTTTAAGTGGTGTGATAACCCTGAGGCTTAAAAAAACAACCAAACAAAACCACCAGCATATTCACTATGAACTCTGCTAACTATTAAATTGCTGATCATTTCAGCAGTAACTTGTGTGCCTCTCTCAAACAACTTTCTAGGATAAAACCATCTAAAGCACTTTATGCAGTTGTCAAGACTTCGGCTGGTACACCAACTTCTAAAAATATTGACAAGGCAGGATCGATTCTCCAGAGGAGACAGCATAAACAAACCATGTATAAAATACAGCAATATGAAATAAAGGTTCTTGTTTTATTTAATATAAAAAGCTGAGCATGAGTTAAGAGTACATAGGCTCCAGCATATGGTAACATCCCGAATTAGCATTAGCACAGACAGAGCAGTTTGTATGCCAAAATGCTGTCTTCTAATTATTGCCTTTTTCTACTAGACTTTGCTACTATATTTTTGCTACTCATTCCACTGTATTCCTCATTTCCCTAAATTTCCCAAATGTAGTCATTCTACAAGCAGCATAGGTAACATAAACTAGTCAGATTCAGCCAGATGTTAGTACAGCTACGACTGTGTCCACCAGGACTCCACACTGGAGAACTATCTAAGCTATTGTGCCTTTCAGGAGTTTAAAATACCTTCTTTATAAAAAACAATTACAGCAGTCATGTTCACTAACTATTTCCTTGGGAACAGTCTAGTCTCTCTGCAAAACAGCATACACCCCTCCCTCCGTCAAACAACTTGAGGGGTGAAGGGAATCTTCAGAGCACAGGTCTGAGCAGAGTACAGCATCATCATATAATATTTGAAGGGTGAAACACCTGTGAAATTATACAGGATAGTAAAGGGGGTAAGCAGTTGATTAATTTGACCTATAAATCCATGTGAATTGACAGAAAAGGGACATTAATGAAGGGTAGAGATAAACAACATAATATTGTCAAAAGTTTGAGGACGGAGGAGGAAGTGGTTTATTCCTCAGTAAAGACCCCACCTCTGCACACCACAAATAGGTGAGGTCTAAAACACACCAGTGTGAATTCGTAGGTGGTTCTTCAGATTTCCAGCTGTCGTGAACTGTTTCCCACAGCCCAGCTCTGTGCACACAAAGGGTTTTTCACCGTTGTGAGTTCTCATGTGCACCTTCAGCCTCTGCAGGACGTAGAAACTTTTTCCACAGCCTTCTGCTGGGCAGGTGAAGGAGCGGTCATTCCTGGAAAGCATCAAAATAGCTGCTTCATTACCAGCTACTGCAATGTATTTTTCAGGAACACTTGACTTCTTTTTTTAATTAAATAAAAAGCAGAAATGTTTAAACCAAAATTAATTATATCAGAAAATGGAGAGACTCAACCAAAGTGAGTGACCTAAATTAGTCCTAAGGAACTAGAGTCTGGGTGGTCCACTGGAAGAATTTGTTCAGGTAATATCTTTTCATCATACTACCTTGCCTATTCTCTACCCAGAATGATTTAGTAAAGCAGTGCAACAGATTATATAGGAACATTGTGGAATTTCAGTCACTGGAGGATAAAAAATGACTGTATGTGTACATATAACATATGCAATTACTGCTGGCCCTGTCTCAGGGCAAGATGATGGGCTCATGTGTATTGGAGTCCTTCCCAGTTTTTAAGCTTCATCTAAAATTTACCTTAGAGACTGCCAATTTCTTAGCTAAATAAGAATACAGTCATTTGTTAGAGCAAGCAACTTTGTTCAAGGGCATGTAAAAATATGATAGCATCCTAAAAGTTCTAATGTTCACTATACCACAGAAGTGATGGTGATGCTCTTTACTGAGCACCTGTTAAAATACAAATATTCTAAACCAAACACTAACAAGGATCTGCAAAAATAATTTAAATCTGGTCAAAGTGTTTCAACATAAATGACCTAAAGCAAGCAACAGGCCTAGTATTTCAAAGAGTAATACCAGGTTTTCACAGCTTGTCAATGCCAAAAACTAACACTATCACAAATAGAGAGCACAGTTTTTCAAAGTCATGACAACATATAGCTTTATTCTGCTCACCGGTGTGTTTTCAGGTGATACTTGAAGTGAGCTGGCCACACAAATGTCCGATCACAGCCCTCAACTGTGCATTTCAGCTTCCTTTCCACACGAGATAAATGAGGAATGGGGCTAGAGTCTTTCGGCTGCCCATCTCCTGAGCAAAGATGAACATTTTCACCTGGAAGAAAAAGTACACCAAGATCTAAAAAAAGATACAGATTACTATAATATGTCAAATTTAATAGATAAAAACAGCATCATATATGATACAGGACTGTAAAGCAGGTATGTGCCTGGCTACTAATTGTTTACCATGCCTTACATGCTGCTGCCTAGCCCATAACAGGGATCAGACACCAATTTGCAAACCTTACCAGGCCCATAGACTATTCCCAACAAGCTATCTGTATCCGATCAGCTGCTACCAGATAAGGCTTATCACAAGAAAGGATGAGAGGAAATGGCCTCAGTTGCGGCAAGGGAGATTTAGGTTAGATATTAGGAAAAATTTCTTTACTGAGAGGGTTGTCAGACATTGGAATAGGCTGCCCAGGGAAGTGGTTGAGTCACCATCCCTGGAGGTATTCAAAAAGCGAGTAGACAGGGTACTCCAGAACATGGTTTAGTGGGCATGGAGGATGGTTGGACTCGACGATCTTGAAGGTCTTTTCCAACCTAAATGATTCTATGATTCTAAGAAGAATAGAAAGCCAATGCATCAAAAATTGTAAAAATGGTCTCTATATCAATATCAACCAACCAATTTTAAGTATTAGGTAGGATAACTCTTTAAAAACACCTTAGCTAAAAAAAAGAGACATTGCATTTGTTTGCAACTATTTATTAAAATAATTAAGTCACAAAGCATGTGACTAAATCCAATTATGTACTCTCCAGAAAGCTCATCTCCAAACCCAGTGGAGCTAAGGAGAAAGTATGAATTACAGTATACATTAAAAATAAGACACTTGAAAGTGAAAATGAAAGTTGAAATACAAGCAGCTGCAGTCAGAAAGAAGATACTCTTTACATGTACCAGGCAGACTACAATGGAACTGCTGGCTCCACTGAGAGTTCATTCCTTGAGAAAAACTGAGGGCCTATTTATACTGCAGAAAAAATACATGGTTGTTCTGTATAATTCTGTCACTGATGATTTGAAGATGTCAGAACAGATTAAAAGCAAGAGAGAATGAAATAGAGGAAGAAACAAGCTGAAACTAGGGGCCTTATATGGAACATTCAACTTTCGAGACAGAATCAGGGGATTTCCTACCATTATTGCTTGCTTTGGCATTCTTAGCGAGCTGTGCCCGAGTGGCAGCAATTAAACTGTCATGGGCCAATTCTTGCACTCGTAGGAACCATGGGGTACTGCTGTCTGTGCTATCATGAGAGAGAAAGTCATTCCCAGAATCTTCTGCTTCATCTTGAACAAACACCAAGTGCTCTGCTGGAGACCCCAGCCCTAGAAAAGAAGACAACTTCATGAAACAGACGGATAATGTAACAGAGGCAAATTTCTTTTGTTTCCCAGAGGCTAGTGTTGATGGCATAGATGCAATAGCTGCACTGAAAAAGTCTTCACTGACCTCTACATTGTAGAAAGCTGCTGATAATTAAATGCACCTGAAATACCTAATAATGCCCAGCAAATTTCATGATCTTTCCCCTCATAAGCAGCAGGGACAGAGTTGTACTCCTGCATTCTGCTGTGAGACATATCCAGTCAGACAAACAGAAGGAGAATTACCTGCTCGTGTTAGGTTGAGAAGAATAAATGAAGTGCTGTCACTGGGCTGGAGGTCTTGCAATAAACTGGAAGTCTCTGGAGTTGACAGAAGGTCAGATGGTTTCTGTACATTCTGTGCCCTTGTTTCCTCTCCATCAGGGCCCACATTTACCTGGAGACTTCTCAAGACAGCAGATGAAGAAACATCTTTGGAAGAATTAGTGTGACTTGGCGGAGTGAGATCTCTTTCATCATCTAGTGAAGAAAGGGAAACAAGAGTAAATGAAAGTATAAATACACTACGACTAAAAGATACCTATAAAGTTATTTTTTGAGGAAAAAACTAGAACTTGAGAGAGATTGGAGGAGGAAGGAATTCTCTAACTAGTCAGACTGCACTGTTAAATGGGAAAATTTCAGTCACCCTTCTGAACTTTCTCCTCCACCCCCTGGAATGCCTTATCAGCAAGAGGCAGTGGGCCACCGTGGCGCAGTAAAGACCGCTGTATTAAGGGCATGCTCGCAAAGATCTGCTGCATAGATTTTACCTGGCAACATGAGTCTGTTGCATTCTGAGGTCTCAGTAACAGGAAGGAGAGAAAGACAGGTGATGTCTTTTGGTTCTGATTCCACCAGCCCTTGCCCCAGTGGAATAGAAGTATTCTGAACAAACTGAACCAGCAGCTGAAAAAAGATACTGAAGATTAGGTCAAGGGCAGCACAAACTATTTAAAAAGGTACTAAACCCAGTCCATTACCCCCTACTGTCTTGTAGGAGACACTGAATATAATCCCATGAATACACATCAAAGTAAATGGAAGCTTTTCAATTTACATTAATGACAAAGAAGGATTTGTTTGTATTTGTCATCTTTGAAGTACCTATAAAATTCTCATTTCTTTAACATACAATAAACAGCTCTGGATCGTTGCAGACCACTCTGAAGGCTACTTAGGCTATATTCCTTTTTAATTATCTTTTACCAAGATAAATTTTATCAATATATGCTGTGTTTTAAGGCATATATTCCTTTTTAACTCATCTTTTACCACTTGATATTTTACTATGCTCTAATGGTACAGATCTTTTTCTAAACCATTGTCTTTAAATACTTAACTGAAAGTTGGCCTTTTTAAAATAAAAAAGCAAGCAAAAGACTAGTTGCAAAGATGTCTAGCTAATGGCTATTCAAAATAGGCAGATAATGATCAGAGGAATAAGGCTGGGATGACAAGGGGGAGAACACAGCCAGCCTTATCCATCCAAATCAGCTACTCCTAAAACCATCGCAGATGGACAATTAAAGCCATTGTCCTTAGTGTGAAACCCACCCACTAAGGGGATGCAACAGAAGAAGTCTTCTCCAGAATCCTATGCAAAATAAGGGGGACTATTGCATAAAGAGGTATAGGATTTATACTGGGATGCATTCCCTGCGGAGGACTTTGGGACTGAACAAGAGATTGGGGGGATTGTACAGGACTAATTATGTGTGTTCCAAAGGCAGGAAAAGGAAGGGATCAAGGTGGAACAGGGCAGAACAAACACAGGAAAACGAAGAGCAGAGCATAAAAGAGGTTCATTACATATAAGCAGGAAGTTAGTCGATTCAGTTGTCTAGCACAGCCTAACCATCGCAGTCTGTCCTGTCTTCTTATTAAACTCCATTCCTAACTATTTCCTGTGTGATCCCAATCTCTAGAGTGTGTGTGTGCCATATGCTAGTGAACACCAAGCCAGACTAGTTGGCAAGCAGAATGAGAAGTGTAGGGACATATCCTGGAGAAACCCATTAAGATTTTCTCTAGGCAGCAACAGAATCAGGCACTTTGCGCTGCCTGTGTTTATGTGGGCAAAGCTACAAGCGTTCTATCTGCATTAATCTGTTTGGCGTCAGTCACATCTGCACAGTGTGTGTGTGTGCACCTATTTGAAAATTGTACTAAACCTCACTATTGGCTGGACCTAAGATCAGAAATAGGGAGCAGCCCTCATCTTAATGGGCCTAGGAGGTGAGAGATGCCCAGGTCATTCAGTCCAGCAGATTTAGCTATCCTTAACATCAGTCAGCTCCAGCAATGCAAAAATTACTTCTGGCTAACTCCTAAAAATCTTGAGTTATAAAAAAGGAACTTGACATTTGAAAAGGAACTGGAAGTCAGATAAATGCCTTTCCTCACCCCTGAAAGTCTTCCCATACTTAACCAAGTTCAGGGTAGCAAAGCATGTGCCTTGTTTACTCATTCTGTTCCCCTGACAACATCCCAAGCTTTTGTCAGACTACTGGGTATAATACTGGACTCCTGTTTACCTCCAAGGCATAGACACAGAAATGAGACTCTCTTTTTTTTCCATTACCAGTGCCATAGCAGTCCATACTAAAATATTCTGATTTAACAAAGGAAGCACTGCTGGGAGCTACAAGATAACACAGCCCAGCTTTTGCAATGGACTGAACTAATTCTTCTGTGAACTCCACAAGTTTTTTTAACAAACACAGTTTCAAATCCCTCCCCTGTGTGGAATTAAACTACTGGAGACCATAAAGACTGAAAGGGGTCAGTTGTAAGAAACCTAGACATACTCCACATTTCAGAGAAAATGCCCCTCAAAAACCAAATAGAGGATCTATTTATTTGGCTATAAGTTCTGTCAAACAGACTTACTCCAATACTCACATTCTCGAAATATTTTGAAAAACACAGATGAAAGAAATATGGAAAATAACAATACACCAAAAACTCAAGTCACTATTCCTTATCTCTAGGAAACTCCTTGACATAAAGATCCTGCATTCTGCTGCTGTCTAGCAAACAACTATATGCAACAGACTTCCTTTATCTTTAGCATTTAGAAGGAAACTGTACAAGACAGTTATTAAAAAGCTACTACCCTTGTTACTGGTTTGTTATTAGTTAGAATTAATCATATTTAATTTTAATAGGAATATGGAACTATAAGAAATATTTTAGCAAAATTATATATTGCATTCTATACATTTAACCAACAACTAACAGCTGCTGTGAAATCCCCTGTATAGCCCTGTACCAAGGCCGGAGGAATTGGTTAAAATCATCTAGTAGGAACATTTAGAACTTAGATAACAGATGTCAGAATTTCAAATTAATAGGAACTTAGGAACTTAAGAAAATGTATTATGTGTAACTATAAGAATTCGAGTATTGTCTGAAATCAGTTAACCACGGAAGCTTTGGTAAAGATTTACTTCGATCTAATTAACGAGGATTCCAATCAGTAGAGTTAAGTGAGATTAACCAATGATTGTTTTAGTATAAGAATATTGATAAGATGGTGTGTGTGACTGAGGGCCAATCACTAGAGACGGTAAATTCAAGAATTAACATTGAATGTACTTTTATGTAAATCTAATACATGATGGCGAAAATCGTACTGTGCAGAATCACATAAGAGAGGTCAACTATCGGACAAAGTGAGGAAGACTATGGAAGACCACCAGAGGGCTTCTGAAGACCACCAGAGACCTTCACTGCGCCTGCGTAAAGGACATTTACATATGCTAAGAACTTCCCAGAAATCTAATGAATATGCATAACATTTCTCAGAAATCTAATGAATGAGTAAGTTTAATATAAGGCGTATGATTTTGGTGTTCAGGTGTGCGTGGTTTGTGAGAGGACTCACCCGCGCACCCAGCCGTCAATAAAGAAGTGTCTGCTTATCTACACTAAATTGGTGTTGATAAGTTCTTTATTCCGAGTTTTTCGGCAACACCCTCATTGTGACATATTTTAGCATGCATTCACGCAGAGCCCAGGCGAAGTTGTCTGTCCAGTGAGATGGTTCATCAGTGTCAAAAGAAACAGAGTAAAAAAGCATGATATGCCCATGGTATATTTGTGATTAAAAGCCAACAGTCACTAATAATTTGATTCTTATTTTGTATGTTGTGATTGTCTTAGTATTTAATTTTCAGAACTACTGGCACACAATTCCAAATTATCTCTATAGCAGATACCAGCCTTCTGAGCCTCTCCTACATCAGGACGAAGTTCATTAAATCAAAGAAACTGCAAAGAAAACTTAATAGTTTGGGCTCCGATTTCTCTATGCTTATCGCCTCTCATGAAAACACTGGAAATACTGATGCTTCCTCAAACAGTTTTACCTCAGAGTTACTGCTGTCAGAGCCCTGAAGCCTTAATTGCCCTGAGTGGTCTCACCTGGGGCCCCCACCCACACGCTCTGCCCAGGGGCTCCATTTAACACCAGGGGCTCCATTTAAGTTCAACCTATGCTCTCTAGTCCTTTCCTGAGCTGTCTTGTAGGTTTACCTGTCTCAAGCCCTGTCTCCTGGATGGACCACAGACTATTACTGCATCAGTGTCTCCAGCCCCATCTCCTGCTACTCCTGACTGGACTCTCTGGATAGACCATGGACCTGGTTCATCACTTTGCCTTGTCCAGGGCTGTGAATGGACCCTGTTTCCAGCACCCATCTCTGCCTGCCATGCTCAGGTGCTGCAGTATTGTGCCCTGGTCAGTGAGAACACTGCCTGGGCTGGGATCACCCTTAGCTTCCAGCTCACCCTCGGGAGCAGCTTGTCATCACTGACAATTATGAGGGTAAAAATTAAGTCTTGAAGTCATTTGGATGGCAATATGCCACTTGAACTAGGCCACAAGCCAGACTGCAGTTTGAAAGGTTAGCACTTTTTCCTCTTAGGTATAAGATTATCCAAAGGCCCCAGTCAGAAGAGGGAACTATTTTTATGTTGTCAAAAAAATACATAGCCAGGAAGAGACAGTCCTTCCCCCGAGGCCATGCATTCTAATTTAAGATTAAAAAAAGAAAAGGAGAAAGAGAGGTAAAGAGAGAAGAGACTTAGGAATAACAGAGCAAGGCAACCAGAAGAAAGAAGTTGGGACTAAAAAAATGCGAACAGCAAGATGGTTCTAAATTACTGGATTGTCTTTCATTTAAAAGCTGTTCATATCCCTACTGCTGCCTACTCCACCATGAAACACGTTTTTTATGGACTCTTCTATTTTTATACAGAAAGCCTTAGATAAAACTTTCCTCCTATAATAGGAAAGCTTTGCTTGAAACCTTCCACTTCCACACAGCAACATTAAGCCACTAGGGAAAAGTAAAATGCAGCAGCCACAAACAGATGCTCAGTAGAAAAAATATCCTTTTAATTTTCTTTGTAAAGTAATAACAAGCTAGTACAGAGAATTAAAAGGGGGCAAAAAAAGCAGAAGTAAACAAAAGGACGCAAATCATGCTTGTTATTAAAATTCGGAATAAAAAACCCCAACCAAAAAACCCAAAACTAAAGCAAAACAATCACCAACTCTACATCAAATATTTAAGAGAAAATAGAAATCTTCATGTCACAGATATATCTTGACAGCTAAGTACCTTCATAAACCTTCCTGTTCAAAATCATTTAATACCTTTGTGACAACTACAGCAACTGGAATATGGGTGGAAACTCACTACAAACACTGTGCCATGCTTTCTTAAGTTTCTTTTAATTTGGTTTTGCAGCTGAAAGCAAATAGGAAATTGTAAGGGTATCTGGTAATTAGCTGTTCAGCATAAAAGACAGACTAGGCACAGGAGAGGTGATAAATTAAACGTGCAGATACATAAACTCCAACAAACTGCAGATAAGAGGGAATAACAAAGACCAGAACT